GGCTTTCGATCTGCATCAACCATCCGAAGAACTTTGACCAAAAGGGCAAAAACCTTTAAACATAATGCTACACTGGTCCAAAATGTGCCATTTACCACAGTGTCATATGCGGATTTCCCTTTAATGGTGTTGCTAAGTCTACATGATTCACATTCATCGCTTGTAAACATTTGTTTTAGTTGGGCCTTTTTATTGGCCAAACTTTGAAAAGTAAGAAATGTGGAAGCAAATCTCGTGACTCTCGGTCGCACAATATCTCTTTTCTTGGTAAAGTGTCTCATCATGGCCAAAGTTTTATGATGAACATAAATAAACACCGTGAGTGTTTTTGCATGGTTAAGAATTTTCTTATACCTAGGTAGCCCACCAATACCTTTTAGAATAAATAAAACATTAATAATATTATTAAAAATTAATAAAAAAACTAAATTATAAACTTAACACAATTAAAATTAATACCTTCAAGCATAAAATTGAGGGTATGTGTTGCACAAGATGTCCAAATTGGCCAACCGCCTCCAACATAATTTTGAAGCTATCATTTTCAAAGGCATGAAAAGGAATGACACATTCATAGGCCCATCTACAAATATATTCTTTCACACGAATCATGTGTTCCTTACGAATAACATTTGACATATTTTCTTATTGGGTTTAGGTCATTTTTGGTCACTTAATTTTTGGTTTTGTGCTCATTTGGTCACTTAACTATTTTTAAGTTTTAAAAGGTCATCAAACTTTTGGCTTTGTGCTCATTTAGTCACTTAACTTTTGTGTTGATCACATTTAGTCACCAAACTTTTAAAATTATGCTCATTTAGTCACTAAACTTTTAAAATTTTTTAAAAGTTTAGTGACTAAATGAGCATAATTTTAAAAGTTAGGTGACTAAATAAGCACAAATCTAAAAGTTAGGTGACTATATGTGATCAAACCAAAAGTTAAGTGAGTAAATAAGCACAAAGTCAAAAGTTTGATGACCTTTTAAAACTTAAAAATAGTTAAGTGACCAAATGAGCACAAAACCAAAAGTTAAGTGACCAAAAATGACCTAAACCCTTTCTTATTTGCTCTTTCCCATGTTTGAAACATCTTGGGGGTTGATAGTGTTTGGAAACCGATCCATAGGCCCAAAAGAACGTTTAGCCTTCTTAGAGCCAAATGAATCTTCCATCAAATCATCATCGATGGTAATGGTTTCATTCTCACTACTTCTAATATTCATTTGTGCTCTTAAAGACTCATTTTCATCTACCTTCCCCTTCTTTTTATTTTGGTTATCAAGAAGAGTTTCTCTACATTTTATTTGGTCATGTTTTGTGGCCTTTAGGCATGGAGAAACATTTCCCTCAATTTGTGCAATATGTTGTTTTAGTCTATTGATTCCCCCCCCCCCCCCCCCATCTCTTTATTACATAAAATGCATTTCACTCGCTCCAATTTATTAGGATTCACACACACTGCATATTCCCATCCAGGTAGACGGGGTTGTTATGGTTGATATCATTACTTCAGTTAGAAATCTATCTTACGCGAAGTGAGTTAGTGAGTCTAAAACACACACATTGTTTCAGAAAAGAGAATAATATCATATTGTCAAACAAAGTGATAAAAAAATAGCATACAATCATATTACATACTATGATACATTTATACTATTATTAGTCTATTACACAGAAAATGATAAAATATAATAACATACAACTAATATACTGTTAGTCTAGTACACATAATACATGGAAAAAATACATACAAACTGTGAAATCTGAATTCTGAAACAGGGACAATCAAATACATATCCACTGCCACGTGTAAAGAAATCACGAAATACACTAAAATACTAAATACATACACACCATACTAGTAAAGAAATCACGAAATAAGTACACTAATACACACCAACCGACAATCTTCAGGTAAAAATGAGATACAGGGATAGATTTCTTGATGTAATACATAGTGATTAGTGGGAGTAACAGTAGGACATTGTGGGAGTTCTTGATGAAGAAATCTGAAATCCACAGCGAGATAGAATAACACTGTAACAATAGAGATATAGAAATCCAGTATCGAGTTCTTGAAGAAACGAGAAAAATGAGAAACAGGGATAAATATACAAACTTAAATACAAAAAAAAAAAAAAAAACCGAGTTCTTGAAGAAGAAATCAAATCATCAACACAACGAGATACATTGAGAGTAGGAGATAAAGAACTTCGATCGCTAGTGGAGGATATCGCCAGTGCACAATCACGATTCACGACTCAAGAAGATAGGAGGTCAGGAACACAACATTAATATTCATTGCCTCATTGGTATCGCTATTCGCTGGTAGCCTGGTGCCCTGGTATCACAATTTGCTAGTAGAAGAGAAAGACGAGAGAGGATCAGGTTGTAGAAATAAGTTTTATTGGGTTGTCAATTTTTTCCCTCGTTGACCAACTTTGAATTTATTGACCGAGTTTGACTTGTTGACCGAGTATCCCGAGTAAGACCGAGTTTGAGCGAGGTTGACCGATTTTCGATTGGGTTTGACCGAGTTTTGACAGACTTTGACTTAATCCGATTTTTTTTGCTGAGTCAACACTACTCGCCTTAGTAGATGGTCGATTCCGAGTACTCAGCCGAGTTGTCTAATTTTTGCAACATTGGTCGATACAACGAAAACGAATTTTTGCCAAATATTGAAAGATTAGTTGTTGGTATGCAAGAGTATAGGGCAAATAGAAGAAAAGTACACGATCGCAACATTTATCACGCCCTTTGTGTTGATTTGGTAGAGCACGTTTACAAGGCTCATATTCAGCCGCCGACAGTAGGGATGAGCATCGTAACCGGGTACCCGCTTTCGGAACCGAAACTGCCTCGGAACTGTCAGTTTCGGAACCAAAACTGCCTTAAGCGGTTCCAGTTCTGGTTCCTAAAGTTATAGAACTGCCTTAAGCGGTTCTGGTTCTCATTTTTTTAGAACCGCTACCCGCTGGGTACCCGCCAGAACCGGTTTATACACACACACACACACTCACTTTTCTATACACGATCAGCAAATATAAAATAAACAAAGTATCTACTTTAAAGCCTTAATATTACCAAAGCATCGTGTTGTAGTTTAATATTAAAAAAAATGTGTATAGTATTGTTTAGACCGATTTAGAATATATTTGTTTAATTTTATCTGTCATTGGTTCAAATTGATACAGTTTAGATCGAACTAAATTGCAGTTTTTATTAACAAAAGTAAATAAATATTGTTGTAACCAGGTTACCTGGTCCTCGAATCGGAACTGCCGGTTTCGGTACTGGTTCCAAAAATTTAAGAACCACCTAGACTGGTTCCGATTCCGGTTTCAACTTTCTAGGAACCGTCGGTTTCGGTTCCGGTTCTCGCCAAATGCGACGGGTACCCGCCTATGCTCATCTCTAGCCGACAGAGTATTGACACGATAATTTATTTGACGAATCAGATGATGATTCAAATATGTTCGTCAAAAGAGATGATTTCGATGACGAGAATGACGTTGATGAAAACGATGATGACGATGAGATTGATGATGAGGATGGTGATTCTGAATGATGTATTTTGGTTTTTTTAAATTCGGATATTAATTATATTTTCTAGGTTGTGGTTTTTTAATATTTGTTGTTTTCTAGTAGTTTTAAAAAATTAATATTGCTTATTTTAATGTTATTTTTAATTAATGAATGGGTTTTTGTTTTTATTTAAATTTTATGTTTATTATTCATTTAAAAAAATATAAATAATCAAAATCAATTAATTTTATTTAAAAAAGAACAAAAAACAAAAAGTGAAAGAAAGTTTCCGGCACCGGTTTTTGGTGAAGAAAATGAATATAGGGGAAAATATGACGTGAAAAGGAAAAATGAAGGAAGTTTTCCACACGCACCCTCCGGTCTTAGAAAGTGAAGATTTCAATTATTGATGGAAGCATCTCCTATTTTGGCATAGTTAATGTATTTTATTAACTTTAGTGAAAAAAAATTGTTGATAAATGAAAAATAAAATATATTGCCTACAAAAATAAATATATAACTATTTTCACAATTTATTATTCAAAAAATTCATATAACTGACCCAAACCCGTTTGATTTTGCCTGAATAGTCTCCCTTGTTTGCAAATTGCAATTGCCCTCGAAACAAGTCTCATCTCACGGCTTCTGCACTCTCGACCTCCCCTCCTTTGGCTTCCGTCCATATAATCCCCAACCGCATCTCTCTCTCTCTCTCTCTCTCTCTCTCTCTCTCATCACTGTAGCTCTGAACAATCCTCACATCGCGATCATCATACTCTTAATCCCAATTTTTGAGTAAGTTCTCACCCTTTTTCTTTCGTTTCTGTAAAATTTAATGCAATCCCATGTCAGTTCTTGAATTATTTCGCCAAAAGCAGTATCTTTCTTCCATAAGTTCCGTAGCAATGTGCTTCTTTGAACGAAAATAAGACATAAGGGATATTCAATTGACGATTTTTGTATTAATTGGTTTTTAATTTATGTTCCGGGTAGCGTAGAATTTTCTCCGGGATGATATCATATTCAAACATCTTTTCTCTCTTGTTGCTTACTTTCGCATTTGATTCAGTAGAGGGAAACTATATGAAATGCTAATGCTTGCTAATGTTTGTGAATTTTTACTAAACGCGACTAGTTTTAGCTGTTAATTGTGTAATCCATGTGACGTATATTCTTAATTCAAATCAGTTTGGATCGCCATTTGAGCTTTTTATCAGCCAATCATGTTTGGATTTCTTATACAAATTAGTATGCAAAATCCAAATGTGCTAAAAATTGAATTGGCGAATTGAAGATGGGGTTCTAAATTTCTGTAATTTTTCCTTCCCACACCAATCCCAAATCAACCATTCAAAGAAAAAGAGGGCAAATTTATAAAAGAAACATCTAGATTACCTTTTTGCCTATTTCCTATGTATGCGTGTTCTAATTTCTTCTTTTTCTTGACAAATTTTTCAAAATGGCTCTTGTATGACAGTGGATTTTGAGGTTGATGATGATGATGTCAATGGTGAGGTACTACTAAACTCCACAGAGCTTGAGATAGAAAGCCGAAAAGGCAATGAAGATGACAATGACAATGACATGGTAGGATGTTCCCTTGAAGGTGTATTATTTCACAACAACCATGACATAAAAATCGATCAAGATGAACCCGAAAGAGGCATAATCCCACTAGATGGGTCCCACAATGTTAACATTGAAGAACCATATATTGGTCAAGAGTTTGAATCTGAAGCATCTGCACATGCATTCTACAATGCATATGCAACCAAAGTTGGATTTGTTATCCGTGTAAGCAAGCTTTCAAGATCAAGGCGTGATGGAACAGCTATAGGAAGAGCTCTTGTTTGTAACAAAGAAGGGTTTCGGATGCCAGATAAGCGTGAAAAAATAGTAAGACAAAGGGTGGAAACACGAGTTGGTTGTAGAGCAATGGTTTTAGTTAGGAAAGTAAGCTCTGGAAAATGGGTGATTACAAAATTCGTAAAAGAGCATACTCATCCATTAACACCTGGAAAAGGGAGAAGGGATTTGATTTATGACCAATATCCGGTTTGTCTTAATCTCTATCTTATTCTATCAGTTTGTTTGATCTCATTTATTTTAGGTTATATGGAATGACTTAATGGGTTAAGCTTGAAAAGCGTGATTAGGGTTTTGATGATTTTTGATTTGGTTGATTGCAGAATGAGCATGATAAGATCAGGGAACTATCACAACAGCTAGCAATTGAGAAAAGAAGATCAGCAACCTACAAAAGACATTTGGAAATGGTTTTTGAGCACATTGAGGAACACAATCAGTCGTTGTCAAAAAAGATTCAAGAGATTGTAAACAACGTGAGTGCAATGGAGTCGAAAGAGATTGAAACTCATAGATAGATAATAAGTTTCAAACTTCTTGTCTTTTTTGATTGAGAATAAGTCAAATTTTTCATCATATACAGGAATGTTTAGATGGTGTTGCTTCTTGATTTGCAACTTACTCATTTTAGAAAATGTTTTTTTTTTTACTTTCATCTTTTGAAAGACGTGTGTACAAGTTGAAACCTTATATGGTAGTTAAAGGGGGTAAATGCAAGAAATAGCAACGTGTTTTTACTTTTGTTTGCTCTTGTAGTAAATACTATATTTCTTAATATGTATAAAACATATTGCTTTTTTTAATGTTTTGTTAATTACAATCGACTAAAAAGAAGTCAAAAACCATGATACTGTTTTTAAATTTTAGTTATAAGACTTACGAAATATATATTTAGCCAAAAAGAAGACATTATTGTAAGTCATCTTAAATATGTATCGGCCATAGTTTCAACACTTTCTAGTATTCCAAACAATTACTTGCTATAAGTCGTTTAACTCGACTTATTTTAAGTCCAAAGAAATATGACTATATAGTCCATTAATTTTATAGTTTTAAAACCGTCTAAATAAAAAAACCGTGTCATACTTATTGTACTTTCTAAACTAAAACCGAACAAAACCATGTATAAACATAATTGTAGTTAAAACTGCAAACTGCATCAAACATAAATTTCAATAAGTGCAATTTTAACAAACTAAAAACTGATCTATGCACTCCTATGCCACTGGCTATTGCCTAGTTGGTCCCTGACACAATTGAACCTATACGGAGTTTCAAAAACCAATTCATGTTGTCTGAAAAGTTTTAACCAAAAATATTACTTAAAACTGTTTTACGTTTTGCAAAATTGTGATCGTAAGATCCTACTAAAGGAGTGTTTGAGATTATTTTTTAAGGTTAAAAGTCTTTTTTGTATAAGGAGTTAAAAGATTTTTTGGCTAGTAACTTTTTCTAAAAGAAAATTTTTAAAAAGTATTTGTATTTGTTTTTAGGGTAAAAGTTAACTTTTCAGGTTAAAAAAGTCTCAAAAATCATAAAAAAAAAAAAAATAGGATTTTGTGATTTTTGAAACATTATATTTTCGTTCTACACAAAAAGTTAATTAAAAAAAAAAATTTCAATACTCAAACATCTTTTGAATCTTTTTTAACTTTTTGAAAAAGTTAAAAGTGAAAATTATTTGAAAAACAATCCCAAACATATTCTAAAATGAATTTATATTCAAATTATGTTCTAAAATAAACTTATATTCAAATTTTTTACAAGATAATGTAATCAATTTTAATTTCTTAAAAATCATTGTTATTTTTGTTGCTAAAAAATGTAAACATTAAGAATAAAACATGTTAATTAAAAATAAAATCATTTTGACAATATGTAAGTAAAACATAAGACCACATATGAATTATTATTTGTGTGCTCTGTGTAATAAGATAATTGATAAAATGATAATGTTTTAGAAAACTTCTAATTTTTATACTCGGTTATATAATAAAATGACATGCTATTTTTCGTGTAGAGTCTTAAAATTGTAAAATCATAAATCAAAATCTGAGATTTTAACCATGTAACTTCAAAACCCTTAGGGTTCGATAATTCACAGATCACCTTCCACCTTAATGCCACCATATCCACCTTCGAAGCTCACCGCATAACCTCCGTCGACTAACGCACAAACGTCAAATTTTTCAAAGCTCGCCTCCAACTTCTACAGCCTGATTTGTGAGTTCTAATCTTCTAATTTCTGCTCAAGTTTATTTCTTTTGCAACCCCATCGAATGAGTATGATATTTCAGGATTCGATTATCGTTAGTAATAACGTGTTAATTCTTCCCAAGATTAAATGGAGTTATATGTACATGTTTACAGAATGCAAGCTCAAATCCTCTAAATCGGTGGTCATGTTTTCCCAATTAGGATTTCTATTTTGAGTACATTTGAATATCGCACCACTTCATGAATCCTATAACGTTGAAATCAATTGATTCTAAATACTTTATTTTGCCTAATCCCCATTGCTCTTTTAACGTTTATCAATTACAGTTTATGTTTGCTGTTTGTTTGTTCAAGCATGAAGGATAAATTAAATGTCTTCCTTCTTTCATGATCCAACAACTGCTTGTAGAACACAATCCACATGTCATGAAGGAGATATAGCTTGGAATCATGCAAGTGAAGTTCTCTCCATGGATGAAAAACTGGAAAATGACATTGAAAAGATGGAAACACAAACACCTTCAGAAAATAATCAAGAACCATGTGAAGGTATGCTATTTGAATCAGAAGAAGCAGCAAGAACATTTTATGATGAGTATGCAACCCGGGTTGGTTTCATTACCCGTGTTTTATCCTCTCGTAAGTCAGAGAGGGACGGAAGCGTAATTTCACGTGGCCTTGGATGTAGAGGTGATTCAGAACATCATAGCAACAAGAAGAGCACCATGAATATGATCCAGAAAAAGAATAAAAAAGGTCGAGAAATTTGCACAGCAATGATTTTAGTGAAGAGAGAGAAACCCGGGAATTGGGTTGTTAGAAAATTTGTGAAGGAACACAATCATCCACTTTGTGTTTCAGTTTCTAAAAAACGTGCAACATTTGTAAGTTTTCATTCACTTCTTTTATATGAAATGAAATCTTGCATTCATTAAAAGATTTACTTTTGTGTAGGATGAAAAAGACAAGAGAATTCAAGAACTAAGTGGTGAATTGCGTGTAAAGAAGCGATTAAGTGCATTATACAGAGAACAACTTCTTGCTTTAATGAAAGATGTTGATGATCATAATGAGCATCTATCTTCAAAACTTCAAGTTGTAAGAAATAATTTAAAAAAACTTGAAGCAAGGATTGTATAATTGTAAGTATTTATTATATCTAAATTTCCCATGGTGCCCTTTTGAGGATAGTGTTTATAGAGCTCCAAACCTCAAATAGCTTTTAAAACCATTCTTCATTGATAAAAGTATAAAACAAGTTTACTTCAAGACTCATACATACGAATAAAAATTGAAGTCATATTAATAAAGTTCGACTCATAAATTCAAACTCTAACAATAATTCACTAAAAACTCAAAGCTTTGTTTTTTTTTTTTTAACAGCTACTCACTCTCTCTAATCTACTCATAAATTTACACCTAAAGACAACAATGGTTTAAATCTTGAAGTATTTGTATCCATCTAAAGGGTTTTTCATTCCTTCTTCCCAATCACCAATTTTCCTTCCACCAAATACTACTTGTTGTATACCCAAATACCTGCCAAAATTAATTTAAAAAAAAAAACATTTTCAAACATTATTAATTCAGACAAAACTTTATCCTTAATGAGAACAAATAAAAGAATCAGAGGCTTACTCTGAACTCAATACAGTGAGACAATTGAGAAGAACATCAAGAGCAAAGTAATCTGAAGTACCTATGTCCACCCTGTTTGTTCCACATTTTTCAAAACTTATTAATTACTTATTTTACAAACATATATTACAATAATATTTAATAAAATAATATCAAAATTCCATACCAAACACGTCCCCAATTATCCTGAAACTCAACATCCCCAACATCATGAAACGATGATGGCATCACATTGAAGCCCTTATCTGCATCATACAAAGGATTGTATTCCATGGATGTATTTGCCAACTGCCACGTGTATATCACAAGTCACAAATTTAATATTATATATCATCAAATCACTTCAAATTATTTATATATATATCATCTTTATCACCTGCAAATTAGATGAATTATATGCACCTAATCGACCCATGACATACCATGACTGAATAACCTGTGTGTGTCACACGTATAAACAAGATTAATTAATTATAGAATTTTTTTTATTCTTTGTTTAAAATGGAATAAAGAAAATGAGAAGAATTTAGTTACACTGCCAATTAAGTCAACATCTCGATCAGAAGGTGGACCATATAACTTGAACCATATATGGGAACCAACAGGACTGAAGCTGTTAATCACAAATCAAAAGAGATTAACAGCGATTATGTTCATCGATCATCATACAAGAGTGTAAATACAAGTCAATTACTCTCTAAATGTGACTTTGAATGCAACAACAGAACCAGTTTTAGCTTTGTGAAAATCTCTCCCTTTTTTCCGAATCCTATCTTCAACCTGTACAATCATATTTGTTGATTTTGTTCGTCATTTAAACAAGTGTAAGATTGCAGAAATGAAAACAGATACTGTTATTATTACCTTCTGTCTCATTTGTTCTGGCTTTCCAATGGTGTCACCAAGAACATTTCGAAGTTCAATGTCGTTTTTTGCTGCATCTTCTAATACCCTGAAACCATTCATGGAAATGGTTTAGCTTCAAAGTTGAAAGAATGGGGAATTGGATGATGTAAGAAGAAAAGGAGGCGAGAGATTACTTAGCCCAAGAAGGATAATTGTGAAGTCGTTCGTATTCTCGTTTCCTCTTCTCTTCTCGAACCTTGAGCAACCGCCGACCTCTAGCGGTCGTACCTGAGCCTTTCGCGTCCTCGACTGCTGAACCGCCGCCATCGCCATCCTTGTTGCCGGAAGATTTCGCACTTACGGTGGCGATCGTTGTTCTAATGTTCCCTGGAACGAATTTGGGACAGAAATAGAGAGTTTCTTGATTCAATGAAATTGAAGAACAGCGATTGAATGCACTGCACATGTGCATCTTCCAGATTAAATAATTTGATGAAGATCGTTGTACTGAATTGAAGGTTATGGTCGTTTGAGGATAAGCAGACGTTAGGGTTCTAAGGAGGTTTATCGTTTGGAACGGATAAATGTAGTTATGTTTAGTCTGTTAGTGGTGTCCGATTGCACATATGGCCCCTACATTTTGTATATTTACATAAACAGCCACTGAAATGTTAAAAAGCCAAATGACTATTTATAATTTTATGTTCCTATTTTTCTTCCTACCTATTTAAGGACAAGTATACAAATTCAAAATCTCAATCAAATTTAAATTAAATTTAATGATACTTATCACCATTTAAAATAGGTAGGAAGATATTAGAAACAAAAAGTAAGAAGCTATTTAATTTCTCTAATTTTATATTATATTTTAACTCTTTAAGGGTGTTTAGGATTTTCTTGTTTAAACATTCTATTAGTTTATTCTGGTTTGGTACATGATTGGATTGTAAAAAAAAAATTATGATTTTTGATAAGTTGTTTTGGTTTAACTTATTAGAAACCTCTTATTAAAGGTGGAAACTAAATTATGCATTTATCCTTATTTAATTTAAAAATAAAATAAAATTAGTTAATAATATATATGATGTCATTTTAGATCATTTAAATATATAAGACTGAGGATAATTTGTCAAAATTATAAAAAATAACTTGTCAACTTATTATACCCGAGGCATGATATGGCTTTGTTCTTGGTCTTGTTTAATAGATATCGAGTGCCTGCTAATCCCTATGTTGTGCGGAGCTGAGCATTTTATATTCGTTGGGATCAAGCTTTTCCTCTGCAGGGATATTATGATAATTAGGGCTGTAAATGAACTGAACGAACACGAACGGAGCTTGTTTATGTTTGTTCATTTAAGTTAACCGAACAAATGAACGAACATTAATGGATAAACGAACGAGTTTTCTTGTTCATGTTCGTTCGTTTAACAAATTACATTGCTCATGTTCGTTTATGTCCGTGAACAAGTTAAACGAATATAAACGAACGAACGTAAACGAGTAAATATAAAAATAAAAATAAAAATAAACATAATTGAACATAAATGAACATGTAATATAGTAATGCAATCAAACACGATTAAACATATATGAATGTAAAATGAATTTATATGAACAAACATAAACGAACGTTCATGAACATAATTGAACGAACGAGACCATTGTTCATGTTCGTTCGTTTAACTAATCGAACGAGAGTTTATGTTCGTGTTTGTTCATTTATTAAATAAACGAACATAAATGAACTTTCCGCCAAACGGTTCATGAACTGTTCGCTGAACGTTCAGTTCGTTTACGGCCCTAATGATAATCAAAACGTTTTTTTTCTAAAACTGTGTCTTTACACCGGATAAGCTGATAAACATTTTTATAAAAAAAAAACTTATTAAGTAAGCAATCCTAAATACGAGTTACTAAAATGACCATTATTTTAGGGAAATAGATGTCCATATTGTAATTTTATTTTCCATCACAAAACAATAATTTTTATTTTTATTTTCCATCACGAGACAAAAAAACACACTACTTTTGCTTGTATTCTAGGTTTGTAACAAAAAAAAACTCAATAAAACTGCGAAATGGATCTTCGCTCCACAAACCCTTGTGGGTTTTTTTTTTAGTATTTGATTGTGCTTTTAGCATAAAATAGCTCATAATGATTCGGATCTATTTTTTTAAGCATAAAATAGTTCATAAAGTAGTCCCCAATATTACATAGGATCTTGGCCATTTCTCCCATGTTTTGCTTGTATTTGATTATGTTTGTAGCTTAGATTAAGCCATATTGGTTTGGATCAAAAATACTTCACAAATAGTTGTTTCTTATTATCCAAAAAGTGAACTGAGAAATAAATATTCTCTCTAAAGTAGCATTTCTTGGCCTTTTTTTTATTTATTGTAGCATAATTATATGAGCTTCCTGAAAGATTTAAACATAAAGAAAGAAAGTCGTGAAAGGCGTCCCTAAATCCTTGGTTATTACTTTGAATGTACCAAAACCTGATGAGGACCCCATGATATGAGAAATATATATTGTTTTACAAAAACTAGAAGACTTGTCTACATTTTAATCTAAATTCGTTATCAACAACAATTATTACAAGATGTTTCTCATCAGTATTTGAGCATTCAGTGATTGGTAGTTGAGAAGAAATTTGTGGATATTAAATAGGGAAAGATTACAGAGGTTAGGTTACATGAAAAAACATAATAACCAAAATTTTCTGCAAAGTTAAATCATAGTAATTATAATGAAAAATTACTCCTAAGAAAGCTACAAGAAAGAAACCAAATCTAACCTCTGCCCTTACAACCAAACCAAACACCATCAAGCTGCTTTGGCTTTGCGTGATGGAGGACGTCGGAAAAGACTGATCAAATCATCCACTCCCTGTTCCCCCAAAAAAAATATATATATAAAATAAATAAATAAATAAATAACATCATTTCCATTTTTTTTTTTAAATGTCTTTTAAGATCTTTAAAAACTATTATTATAACATAAACATTAACATACCCTGGTAGTTATGACAAGGAAACTGAAAAGTGTAATTAAATACGATCCCAAAACTAGTAGCAACAGCAAGTCAAATGTCACACTCGCAACCTGAAATAACAAGTTAATAAAATTCAAAATCTTTGATGTGAAAATGAGAAATAAAATAATCATGGAAATAAATAATAAAAGTGACCTGATAAATCTGGAGTGTAGCAACTGTGGAGTCATAAAATGTGAACATTCCATCAAGGACATCATGTTGCAAATTCACCTCTGCAACGTGATCTGCTAATTCCTGTTTGTTATTCCAATAAATGTCAGTTGTTATTTGTTAATGCTCATTAATCAATTATTTTAAAAAAAAAAAAAAATGTTTACCTTTTTCAATGCCATGATGAATGGATTGTCCTTTGAGAGAAATGGAGCTACACGAGGTGTTGTTGATAACAGATGAAGCCATGATTTTATGTAAAAAGGATTCACACCCAAACTTGTGTTATCTGCAAATATTTCCATCTTCTTCCCTTGTTGACCATATATATGCCTCTGTTCACATAATAATACCAAAATCATCAAAATTTTATATAACAAATAATAATAAAATAATATTTTGATTAAAATCTTACTGCAAGACTTTCAGCAACCAATTTCACACTCTGAACAACTGCATCTTCACTCACAAACTCTCTAATTCAATAAATAAAACAAACAGAATCTCAGTT